AACGCGATATTTAGAATATATAAATTAAAAAAATTATCACGGAACATAACGCAAAATCGATACACATTTTTATTAATCTACAAACATATTCTTTGATAATCGCTTTGATAATCGATTACGAAATACAAAAGCGCTTAGTCCGGAATTTATAAAATTCGGCAGAATCCACTAATCAATCGATAAAAATTATCTGCAAAGAACTCCTTAATTTAACGAAAAATCTTGAAAGAATTATAAATGTTACGATCCACACACGCACGTTCGCGCATGCGCACACACACAGACACACACAAACTATATGAAACAGATTGTCACCGCTCACCTCAATGTCAACTTTTATATTTTTATATCGAGATGCGCTTTATCGCTGATATCTTTTACTCATAAATATTGTATATCTTAAAAACTATATTTATCATATATAAACTGTTTTTGTAATTACAGTGCTCAATATCAAGGTATAGGGGATTAATATTTTATAGTAATAAATGAACTTAAATGTTCCATTATTTTATATTGCAATGATTACTCGTCAAGAGACCTGATTGCAAAATTAAATCTATCATTTAATTGATTTTTTTGCGAAATACAGTTTTTGTTACATACATTGTGCGGTAGAAATCCCACGTACATATAACCTTCCAAAATTACCTACTTACCTAAAACATTAGTGGCAATGGGGTCTTCATCTAGCTAATGTCTTACCATTATATGCGACGTAGAAATCGGAGGTATTTATGCCTCATCCATTATACCATTATATATATATATATATATATATATATATATATATATATATATATATAAAGAAATAAATTCATTAATTAAAGAAAGAATATACACCACACACACGTATATATATATATATATATATATATATATATATATATATATATATATATATATATATATATATATATATATGTGTGTGTGGTATATTCTTTCTTTTAATTTATTTGTCACCTTACACTTTCCTTTTGTGAGGATTGAGTGTGTGGAGAAATTGTCTATCGTGCTTATTTTTTTAAGCGCTTTCGGCTAATATTTTAATTCTTTTTCGAGGGCAATGGCGTTGATTTGCTTGGTAAGGAAAATTGTTAATATAGTTTTGTTTTGTTTCTTATGCCTTGTTATGTGAAAGGTAAATATATATATATATATATATATATATATATATATATTAGGATATGGATTAAATTCCCAGACATCTACTCAAATTGCTTTCGTCGTGTCGGAGTTTTTTTTCTTTGGACTCTGAGCTTGAATTCTGGTCGATTGTTTTCGCCTGAATTACATGTTTTTATTTTTTTATCCCTTATTTTTCCTTGGGTATTGGTTTGTTCATTTACAAGCCAAAACACCTAAGGTTTTTTCAGATGTGTATATATATATATATATATATATATATATATATATATATATATATATATATATATCCTTACCTCAACCCCTCTCCTCACTTTTTTAGGCCATGTGCCACAATTATTGCATTTTACAATAATAAATATAATCTATCTCCTCTCTCTCTCTCTCTCTCTCTCTCTCTCTCTCTCTCTCTATATATATATATATATATATATATATATATATATATATATATATATGTATGTATGTATATATATATATATATATATATATATATATATGTATGCATGTATGTATGTATATATATATATATATATATATATATATATATATAGAGAGAGAGAGAGAGAGAGAGATAGATAGTCAGTCAAGTCCCTTTAAGAAAAGATAGCGCTGTTTTATCGATGTTTCATCTTTGCAAAATTAAGAATTTTGCTTGAAGATTTTCGACTCTCTTCTGCCCATAAAAAGATATTATTTCCTTTTTGTTTCTACCTCGAATAAAAAAAAGCGATTTTAACCTGTTTGACTACCAGTCGTCCATAACATTCTTCTATTATGTGTCTTTTCGTATTTTTCTTGCCCTTTTCGTAGTTTTGTGCCTTTCGGGAGAATTATACATGCATAAAATTATTATTATTATTATTATTATTATTCGTTCGTTCGTTCGTTTGATTCCTGTACATGCGGTAATGTGACTGGCTGATAAGATACCAAGGATGATGATCCAACCTGCTACAGCTAGAGAGTGTCCGCTGCCCAGTAACAACCAACCCCTTTTTTTTTTAGTACATTTGGGTGAATTTCTCAATTTTCTATTCTTGGTTCTGATCTCTTTCCCAGTCCTACCTGTTCGTTTTTCCTTTAATTTTGTTTGACACTCAATTTCTTTTATATTTCGCCCAAAACTGCCTCCTAACGTTCTTTTTTTTTTTTTTTTTTTTAAAGTGATTTATTTGTTATGATTTTCTTTATGTTCGACATCTTCGTTTGTTACTTCGACCCATTTGGACATTTTCTTTTGTGCCCTTCCTTTTTTTGTTTATTTAAGCATTTTAGAAGTTCAGTTGATGATAAAAAAAGGGACACAGACTTCTGAAGATTAAAGAAATAAAAAAGAAAAGAAAAGAGTGAATGAAAAAAAGAAAGAAGGAAAGAAAAAGTACCGATTTAAGATAAAGTAATGTAAATTAAGAAAACATAGCTTAGTACTTACACAAAAAGCAAAAGGTTTATTATTACTATTATTATTATTATTGTACAAAGAAAGAGAATTTAAAAATAAAGAGGGAGAATGTTACTTTGAAAGCGGCAAGAAAAGGCAAAATTTAAAGACTAGGGAAAATATAAAAGATAAAAATAAGGAAAAAGGATAATAAAAAAATTGATGAGAGAGAAAAAGTAGAAGACGATTTTAAATCAATAAGAAAAGAATAAAAAGAAGAATTTAAAAATAGAAAAAGAAAAAAAAACCAAGAAAATCGTTAAAGAAAGACGCAAATACTGGAAAGATGATAAAATCACAGGAAACAGAAAAAAGAACAAGAGAAAGATTAAAAAAGATAAAATGAAAGAAAAAAAAAGAAAAAAGGATCGGATCGAAGGAAAAAGTTAGAAAAACGCACTCACAAAGCCAATTTGAATAAAAGGTGAAGGATAAGCAAAAGATGCTGGAAATAAAGTTGTAAGGGGTTGATATATAAAAAAGGAATAAAAATGAAAGAGACAGACAGACAGACAGGAAGGCAGTGAGTGCTGCCCATTGTAAAAGCACTGAAGTTTAACGTTAACTCACATCTTTGCGCCCCGCTCCCCAACCACTGACAAGAAAAAAACCCAAAAACAAACCAAAAAAAAAACCAAAAAAAAAACAAAACAAAAAAAAACAAAAACAAAAGGAATAAAAAAAATAGAAAAAGAAAAATGTAGAGACCCACACACAGGAGCCCACCGCACAATTTATCAAGGAAGAAAACTTGACTGTAAAGATTCCGTTACAAAGAAACAAGAAAAAAAAAAACCCCAAAAAAAACATCTTTACTAGGAAAAGAAAAAACATTCTAAGCGAATAACGAACTCACCATCCCAATCACTAAAACTACTTTTATAAACAGTACAAGTACAAACATTGGTATTATTAAGAATAACATTAACTCCATCTAATAATTATTTACTCTCAATATTGATCCAACATCATTACTAAAAAAAAAAAAATTGAAACTCCTACTAGGCTCACCTTCCATTGGGTAACAAAAAAAAAAAAAACAATCACTAAAACTTGTAACACAATTCAAAATATATCAATTAATAATAGTCGCAAGTAAATTATTTTTATTTATATATAATGTATTTTTTATTAATAATAAATATCAATATTATTAGTTAGTAGTACCTTAACTTTTCAACTGTTCTAATAAGTGTTATTATTAGTACCACTTGTTGCTTTTAAAACTTTTCTTTTCCTCTAGAAATTGAGACCAACTAATTATTATTTAGTAATAATATCTCACTCATAACATCTTTGAAAACAAATAAAATTATACTGACAACAAATGTTATTAACAATAGAATCAACTATAATAATAATAATGATGATTATTATTATTATTATCATCGTCATTGTTATTATTATTAATGATAATATTAATTATTAATAATAATAATTATTATTATTATTATCTTTTTATTATTATTAATAATAATAATAACAATAATAATATTTGTAATAACTTATTATTATTATTTAAAAAATAAAAAAAGTTAAAAAAACAATTCTACTGTGCCAATCCTCAAACTACTACCAATATCACTAATTCCACCATCATTACTACTACTACCATCACTCTTACCACTACAACTACCGCTACTACTGCTACTATTACTACTACTACTGCTACTGTTAATACTATAAATTATTATAACTGCGACAGTTACCAACAAAACTGTTACTACAACGACCACGAAGACAGCCGCTATACCGGTGTAGACTATCAGGTTAAGGTTCTATCCTCAGTGCTGGGTAGTCTTAGAGGAACTTGTTTGAAAAAAAAACGAAAAAAAAAACAAAAAAAAAAAAAAACGGGGGGGAAATATCAAACTATAGCAGAGAAATTCCATTCACCAGAACAGTCACTGGTAACATCTATAACAACCACGTGGTAATGTTGATGAGTTACACTAGGTAATTAGTACTAAACTTCTTTGCAGCCAACGTGAAACCTTCCTACTGCTCTGCGTTGTTTTGTAAGGGTCCGCGTAAACAATTAGTAGATCAAGTGCAATCGGTAACGCGAATACTGACAACCAAAATTGTATCACTCTTCTTATCTGTGTCTTGTCGCTTACCTGATGATAGTAAAAAAAAAAGGAAGCAAATGATTCCGTGGTAGCAAACACTCGCCGTGCGAATACCTATCAGAGAGAGAGAGAGAGAGAGAAAGAGAGAGAGAGAGAGAGAGAGAGAGAGAAAGAGGCAGTGAGGGCGTGTGTGTATGCGTATGTGTGTGTATGTGTGTCCAGTAACAACCAAAACGCACTGACCGTGTACGGACAAAGGGAAAAATTCTCACCTCTTTCCTATCTTTATTTCGGACTTCCTGCCTGAACTAACCAACCTGGTTAAGCTTCTCGCATAGACACTTAGGCTTATCCCTCCATCTATCTAATAACGCCCATCTATCTATCTATCTATCTATCTATCTATCTATCTATCTATCTATCTATCTATCTATCTATTCTTTTCTGCCTGACTGTTGGCATATTATAAGCCTAGTCAGTCAAACGCCAACGTCTTTCTTTCTCTCTTTCTCTCGTCTGACGAAAACGAAATTCGTAATCACATGTATTTAGGGTGACCATTATTTAGCGGACATTTAAGTGACCAGCCCTGGAGGTCTGAATGAAGCCGGCAAGATGCTACTCTTGATAAAGATGATGTGTTTTATTTCAGGTAAGTAATTTCTCTCTCTCTCTCTCTCTCTCTCTCTCTTGTTTGCATTCATTTTTTTCTTTCTTTTTTTCTCTTTTTTATTTTTTTGGTCGGTGGGGGTTGTTTTATTTTGTTCGGCTTGATACAGTACAAATGAGTGATAAAGGGGAAGGAGAAAAAGGAGGGGGTTAAAGATGATGCTGATGCTGATGCTGATGACGACGATGAAGAGAAAGAAGTATAACGTGTAATATAAAAAGTCAGAAATATACGCGTGTGTTGGAGTTTTTCCTTTTTATTCAACACAGATGAATAGGACACAAAATATTGAGGATCTATACTGTAATATGTATTTAATGAAACAAATTATATATATACAAACGCATACACATGCAGTGCATACATATAAACACATGTTGCATGCAAAATACACATACATTCATAAAAGATATATATATATATTACTTGGATTTTTTTACTGCACTAATTTTTCAATTCAACCAAATTATTCACATATATTTAATTTCTCTTTTTTAAAGCGCTAATTCAAGCAAATCGTGTATATATATATATATATATATATATATATATATATATATATATATATATATATATAATTTGCTTGAAAATTTTCTAAGTGGCTGTAGGAATATCATGCTTCGGCAGTGTTCCGAATAGGAAGGGTTTGCATGAATCGTTCGAGATCCTGGTTTTTATTTAGGCTCGAACACTGAAAACTTGTGCCGTTGGGAAATATTTAGCCATCAACTCCTTCCCCCCACCCAAGCAAGTACAATATCAACGTATCGACTGTATCTGAACCTTGAAGTCACGTTTCGCCTTTGTTATTGTTAATTACTACACGCTGAAATGCCCCCCCCCCTCGTTTGCGGTGGCCGCTCCGTACATACATACATACATACATACGTACATTCATGAATGCATGTAGGTATATTATTTAAATTAATATTGATTTTGTTTACGCATCATACGAAGGTGTATCAATATTTTCGTAACCTGTCATATAGATGTTACCTGAATTTTTAATCTGATATTTTCACTGTTTAATGTTCGGTCTATGGAATTATAATTTACAGCTGAAGTGCATCGAACGGAGAATATCGAAAAATAATATTTGTTGTGTAAAAAAATAAACTCTTTTTTCATCATTATTCTGCAGACTTATCGATATACCTATGTATATATTTCTTATATATCTATGCTTGCATGGAAACGAATTGTTATACAGTGTAACCCGGATATAAGAGACCCGGATATAAGAGAAACCCGGATATAAGAGAGATTTTCTCTAGTCCCAAATTAGAGCCTGTGTTAATGTATATAAAATAGACCAAACCCGGATATAAGAGAAACCCGGATATAAGAGACTTCTTCTCCGGTCCCGAAAACTCTCTTATATCCGGGTTACACTGTACAAAGGTTTACGTGAATGAAATATTTGTTTACAGATTTTTTAGGCAAGTTATCTTTTGACAATTTCCCTTTTTGTAATTTTGATTGTATTTGTTTTAATTTTTATCATTATTTTTTTAACAATTTCCAGTTTTTTTTCTCGTTTTATTATTTTTTACCTTTTGCATTTACTATCTTTGTTTTTGTTTTTTTTACTCACTAATTCCGATTAAAGTAAACTTAAAGCAATGTTTTTAAAAATCTAATCTACAGTAAGGATTTTTTTTAATTATGGCCAACGATCGGAAGATTTGATTTCTTTGAGTTATTTTTAGTCATTTCTCTTGAGTTTGAGCACAAAAACATATAAAGAATTTTAAAGAATTCTAATTTGTCAGTTTGTAATGATAAATTTAAATATCTGCACTCACATGAATACACAAATGTCCTCATTAACTGGTGCTTGTGAAAGTAAAATCTTCAGGAATATTACACACACACACACACATGTGTGTGTGTCATATATATATATATATATATATATATATATATATATATATATATATATATATATATATATATATATTGCCCGAATGTTCTTTTTGTCCGAGTGCTTTGGCTATACTTTTAGCCATTATCAAGGATCAATCGTATTTTACTTTTTAACTGAATGTATGGATTGTTTTATGTATGTATCGAGATTTATAAGAATGTTTTATTTTACAAAAACGGCCAGCACATTGTGGCAGTGTTCATAATTGAGTGTAGGTTGTAGAAATTGTCCGAATATTCTG